GAGGGGGAAGCGCCTCTTCGCCCCCCGCCGGGGATGCCCGCGCCTCTCGCCGGCGTCGGAGGGGGCGGCGGCAAACAACCGGCCCTTCAGAAACCCCCTTGTCAGGAGCCGGGGTCTGGCAGCCGAGCGGGCTGGCTCCGCACTCTGGAGGCTGGCCTCCGTCCCGCGGAAAGCAGCGATTTCTGGTTGACCCTTGGAGACCGTTCAGCTTTTCCTCGGCCGGGTCTAAAGCTTTAAATAGGTGCAGAGAGTCTGCATTGTGTGAGATTGCATACTTTTTTTAGGAGTTGGTTGGAGGGTTTTTGTGGAAGTGTCTCTTAAAGGGTATAAAATGTTGTGAAGGTGCGTAAGTATCTGCGGGGCTTGGAATAAACCTGACATGCACTTGCCCTGCCCTCGTATTTTATCTGCCACGATTTTCTGATCCTTTCCTTTAATATAGGGGGTGGGGGGAGAGAGTAGAGCCTTTTTTAGTCAGCTGAAAAGTGTTATTTGTGGCACATTATAATTTTTTTTTTCTTAAAAAAAATTTATTGCTGGCAGCTAGGCTCTGTAGTCAAAGTTCTGTGCTAAAGTTATGTAAGTGTCGGGAAAAAAAAGCAGTCAGATTTTATGAGTTCATGCCATATTTAAATTGGTGTGTGGTCTTTGAATAGTGGGTTGGTAATAGGTCTTGTGTGTCATCATTGTTGTGCTCTTTTGAATTTTTAAAAGAGTCTAGTGAGATAGATATAGTTAAGCTCCCAATGTAATATAAAAATGTTTGCTCTCTGTAATGCTTGTGAATGACCAGCAGTTGTTAGAAAGGGCAATGTTTGAAGGTAAAGTGTATTGGATGGCTGAATTCACTTGTCTGGAAATATGGAAAGAATGGTGATTCTGATTTTTACTCTCTTTTAAAATATAGGTGAGTACTTAGCAAGTTTGACAGGGTATATGACACTTGTGGTATATAGTTGGTTGACAGCTTAATGAGTCTGATCAAAGTTCCTGTCTTCTTGATGAACAGAAAAGAACTTTAAGGGTTACCCAAATACTGTTTAGTAGCATGGGTTTTTATATGTTTCATTGTATGATTGTATGAAACCTGAATTAAATCCAGTTGCTGTGTTGTGTTTTTGGGTTTTTTTTTCTTGGAATTGACCATCCAAGAAAGAAAAAAAGGTAATAGAAACTAATAGAGTCTTCTGGTTTGTGGAAGCTACCTAAGATAGCTGAGTGCAAGTGGATGTACGACTCAAGCTGGCAGGATACAGGACCTTGCTGAGATCAACTGACAATTTCTAGCATGCATTTGCACTCTGAAATTCAGAGTGCCTGATCGGATGTTTCCTTAGAGCTCCTGCATGTTGATTATTACATGACTGAAGTGAAGCATGTATATAATCAATACGCTTGATTCTCTTCCTGTGTGCACAAGTTTTACATTAGGGTAGCCCTATTGATTTCAGTGGTTTTGTTCTTTATGAGCGTGACCATGCAAGCTCAATGGGAGTGATACCCACTTGTAATTTACTGGAGTTCAGATTGCTTTGCTACATTCAACTCACTTATATCCATGATGCAGAATACTTATTCTGACTTGACTTCTAATGCCAAAAAAGCCCCCCAAAAAACAAAACACAAAATACATAGGTGAAAGAAAAGTATTAGAGTTTGACCTCCTCTCCCTGTATGCATGTGTGCACACACCCACAGACACCACCCCCATGTCCCCCTCAGCTTCAAACAGCCTTTGAATCATAGACTCCTAGAATAGTTTGGGTTGGAAGGGACCTCCAAAGGCCATTTAGTCCCACCTCCCTGCAATGAGCAGGGACATCTTCAACTAGAGCAGGTTCCTCAGAGCCCCGTCCAACCTGACCTGGAATGTTTCCAGGGATGGGGCATCTACCACTTCTCTGGGCAACCTGTGCCAGTTTTTCATCACCCTCATTGTGAAAGATTTCTTTGGTAATAACCAGCTCAGTTAAGAGTAGGCTTTTATGCCTCTTACACAGCTTACTGAATGTTATGGAAGTGGTCTGAAGTGGTCAAATGCTGAAGCTTCATTGTCGTGTTTTTTGAAATTTTAGGGGGGGAGCAGTTGCCAGAAAAATTCCGAAAGCGGCAAAACTGTGGGAAGAAAACCCCAAACAAACCCAGAACAAACTATTGGCTTGCAAAAGGGTTGTTGTACTAAAGTTTCCCTGCAGAGTCAGGCATACCTTTTTTTGAACAAAGACATAGTTTTGCCTCTGTATTTTGACATAATTAAAGACTTGCTTGCACACTGATGTAATTGACTGTTTGGTTTAAATGCACAGCAAAAACTTTATCAAAAGGTAAATAGTAAATAAGCCCATGCATCAAGATAAAACAATGAGCCCTATATTGCTGTTCTTGGGTATTTGAATTGGGAACAGCAGCACTTTGGTCACCACAGTGTGGGAAGACAATGTGAATTAATTAGTTGGTTCTGTTTTCTGGTGCTGCTATATTAGCTTGTACACGGGTGGTACCAAATTTATCCAGTCATAAATCTTTGTTCTTAAATGAGTGCATCATGTCTGGTAGCACCTCTTGAAATGTGTAGAAATAATCTGTGAAATATATAGCAATGTGATTAAAGGGGACTATACAATCCTTGTCTTGTTACGTGGCTACTTAGAAGTTGTAGTACTGTTGTTGGCAACGGTTTAGCCTTACCATAACTTCTCTTGTCACCTTGGTATCTATGGTGATATCAAACTTGTGACCCATGATTACTTAATTAAAGTGTTTAGTTTGAAACAGGAATGCTTTGTTCTAGTTCAGATTAGCTTTCCAGATCTTCAGAATGGAATTATTTGTCTTTCTTCACATGTGAAAGTAGGAACTGAACAAAGGCGTTCTATTTTCTAAAAGGGTTGAGGAGGTGCATTTGGTGGATACTTTAATCATGTTCCTGTAGTGTGCTTTCTCTATACTGTCTAATATCCTTATTATTTTAATTGGGATATCTTGTAATGGATTTAGGAAATAGTGTATATAGTCAATGGTGGTCTACAAGTGAGACACCCCAATTTGTACTAGGCAAATTTGTTTTTATGAAGCAGAATTTATTTGTGCCCTTGGTAGATTCAACTTGAATCATCCTCTAGTGACTGTCTTCAGGTTGGGTACACAGTAGTGACAGGGGAGAGGAAGGATCATTAGAAATAACTTTGTCAATTTGTGCTTGTAAAATAAATTCTTAGATGCAGGAACATTTGGGAAGGTGGTGCTGAAATGCTGGAATTTCAAGTAGCAGCGGCTTAATTGGGGGGGGGGGGGGGCGGAATGTATCTGTGTAACTACATCTCCTTGTAGGTGATGACTCTTGACTCTGTCAAGTTTTCAAACCTGAAATAGGTGTTGGCTTGAACTATTACTGTTAGCATAGATGGCCTGCTAGCTTAGGGCTGAAGTAGCACGACCAAACTGAACATTGCCCACAGATGTTAAACTGCTGAAGTATCCTATTCCTAGATGGGAAAGACAAAGATGCAGAAGTTACGTGTATGGTTTGGAAATGATTCCTGATAATCCGGGAAGCCTGTGCTGTGGACCCATATTTGGAAACTCTGGGTGTTCATGCTGGGTTTCTAGAGGTTTTTCAAAACCCCTTAAAAAAACTTCTTATGTCTTAAAGTAGAAAGGTTTCCATTTGACTTTATCAGATTACAGGAGTGAGAAAAGTAATAACCTGCTGTTTTACATAGTATAAATGATAGACAAGTCATTTAATTCAGTTGTGGGCCTGTATCAAGGATGGCCAGAATTATTTGTGATGACAGGTAATGAGCTTTTTAAATTATATATATTAATTTTTCATAATGGAGGCAGAAAGTGATTGTCTAGCTCCTTCAAAATATTAAGATGATAATCTGATTCTGATTAAGACAATGGTGTAGGCTTTTGGTATCCATAAGCATTGAATCTGCCCTGACTTTTTTGCCGGTGAACCTTAGAGGATAAGGTAGATATTTTCCTGCAGCTGTTTTAAATATCTTTTCAGTTTTGAAAGTGAAATACTTGAATGTGATTCGTCACTTAAAATGTCTCCATTACGTTGCCTCTTAGCCCACCTTCAAACTAGAATCTTCAAACTTGCTATTGGATCCTTCCCTGAGAGGTCCATGTCACTTGTATGCTTATGATTCAGAAGGTCATAGTGCTTCGGCTCAGTGTCTCTCAAATGTTGAAGTCAGATGATGACTATTGATATATGCAGTGTTTTTGTCAGTTCACGTCTCAGTGGTGTGAAATAAGAGGTGGGTGACACGGGGAAAGAAGAACCTGTTCTCCCATCTGTGTGCAAGGCACGTCAGAGGGAAAGTAACCTAGCAGCCGATTAGGTTAAAAAATTACATACTGTGCAAAATGGAATTTAACATTCGGAAGTGTCTGCTAAATAACTGTATTATTTAACAAGCTAATTATGGTTCTTTGCTTCCAAACATGACCAATGAACTAATTCGCCTGAGGAGATTGCAATGTGGTAGCAATAACCAAGCTGTTACCGCAGTGCCTTGGTACTGCACAGTTGCCAAACACATCCTTTATCATGTAATTGCATTTCAGCGGTTCCTAAAAACAAATGTGTTTAACCGTGTGATCATTAAAAAAAAAAAATTCAGCTTAAGTGTTATTCATCCTTTTATTTGGTAAGCAGAATGTCTTTTAACTTGGTACCTTGGGGCAGAAGCTATATGATTAGGTCTCATTGCTTTGCTACCAAGTGTACCTTCTGAGCTCCCTTTTGCCCTCTTTATTTTCCACAGGGGAAAATTGATTGAATAACAATGTGTTTTTCCCTGCTGTGTAATAGAGGAGGATGACTGAGAGAATTTGGGATCTAGAAGTAGAGTATGATGGTTAAAATCAAGAATAACTGAGGCAGAAATACTGACAGGACTTCCTGGGTTGAGAGTCGTCATATAAAGCTGGGGAGTTCCAGAGATGTCAGCTTGGAGCTAACTGCTATTCTAGAAATGCATGAAATAATGAGTTCTGAGGTGGGTGGATTTTCAGTGCAACAGTAGAGCTGCAAGAGATGGGAGAAAGTGTGCTAATAAAAGTGAAAAGTAATCAACAGAGTCTTGGGAAACAGATTCTACTGTGTTTTGTCATTGGACTGTTACATGGAATCTGCCATTACTAGTTTTATCCCAGTAATCTGGCTTCTTCCTACTTCATTTGGTACTTGGGCTTGGTACTCTTAAAAATTCCGGTTATTTCACCAGTAGAAATATATTTTACATGGTAGTCAAAAGATATGGCTGGCTAAAAACGTTGAATTTTCACTGATCTTAGTAAAAAAAGTTTGTTTGACATACTTGCTTTGAAGTGCAGAAGTGAATCCAGTTCAAGATGTATATTGCCTGTATACGTAGGGCATGAGAGAAGTGCAGAGGGAAGGACATTAAACATGAAGATTTGTTTGGGTATGTCCTAAACGGTACATAGACCAATTTAGACTAAGTATCTTAATGCAGTTTGGCATAGAAGGATGTTGGGGGGGTATCTGTGGTGTCTCTAACAAATTAGTATTTTACAGCTTTATGAGATAGATGAATATTGGATGTAGCTATTGCTGTGACTGGTAGTGCCTGTTTTTGTGAATACAAAGTGATTAACTAACTGACATGCATTCAGATCTTCAATACATTTTAGAAGATGGGACTAAAATCATGTTCCAGGTTCCTTACAGAAAACTGCATTAGATCTGTAAGAATAGCATTAAATACGCACTTAAGCAGAATGCCTTGTATTTCAGTCTGCTCTACTCTCAAGTGGTTTTAAGGGACAAAACAAAGCAGATCAGATAGTATATAGCAGTTAATTTCCTTTTCCTGACTCATTCCATGGCTCGCTCTGTATTGAGCTTGCATGGTTGGCATCCAGATTAGCTTGGAATGGGCGTAAACTGCATGGAGTTACTATGCCTTATTTGTACTGTACTTCTCTGGAGGTGTCTCTAGAATTTCAGGGTTGAATTGAAGGCAGAAAACATCACGCAGCCAACTTGCCCTGTTTGCAATATCGGTTAGCTTGTCAGCTTGAGAGAAAGTTTGCTTGGACTTTAGCCTCCAAACTTTGAGCTGCCTAGTCTGGGTTGGTAGTTGATCACAAATAAACTTGTGATAAATTGGTGCCTAGTGGACATCGGTAGAGTACTTCCAAACGTCTTCCAAAGAATTGTATGGGATTTTTTTTCCCAGTGACTTGATAATGTCGTAGGATGGTCTGGATACTAAAGAGCTACTGAAGTCTGCTGCTGCTTTTGAAAAGTATTTGGCTTTTGGTGTGAACCAGGTCCTCTGTCTTGAACCACGTTAGCCTGATGTAATTTTTGTATGTTGTTGTTTTGGTTTAAATTAGTTTTTAAAACTGCAGGTGTATGCTTCTGTAAAGATACAGGGTTTTTGTATAGGAAAATTTGATTGGTTTTTTATTTTCACATAACTGTCAATATATGAAGCAATACTTTATCTTATTTTCTACTGTATCAAAGCCTTATGTTTGTAATTTTTCACATTTTACTCCAATAGCCTGTGGAATTCAAAAGCTGTGGGATTCATTTCTGTTGTCAGGCTTTGGGGAAGTAAAGGCGCTGAAGACTGACTTTCAGTTTGGTCTTCAAATAGCAAGAAAGCGTTGTGGAATAGCAAGCCTTTACACTATGGGAGGAGAGAAGATCTTAAGGAATGTATACAAAATTTCCCTGTTGACTCATGCATCCGATCTGAGGCAGGAAATGAAAACTTGTTTCTGTTATGAATGTCATCAAACAGTCAAACTGTAAGTTTTGGGTAGCTGTTGAAATGGCTACGTTGAAGGCAGGTGATTTCCTTCCTAGTCCACAGAATGGAGAAGGCATCGCTTTTAGCTTTCCAGAACTTCTGTGCTCTTTGAGCTTCATAAGCTTTTCTGCCTGTGTAGTCACTGCTAAATATCTTTCCTCAAGCTTGTGTTTGGAAGAATGAATTGTTGCCAAATTGAAAGTTTATTGACTTGAATTTGTAATTCCTGCAGGTGCCGTAAACCTTACCATACAATCCTTGCTTAAGGTAAATTCAGTTGCTTTCTTTAAAGCACTGGTAAAGGCTGAAAGGTAGTGTGGTAAGTGCAAAACTAGGTTAGAATAAAAAAATTGTACAAATAGTCAATTTTGTAATTTATTTCCAGTTTAATGTTTTGGATACGATTTTCTTTAACACTTCTGTCTTTGCAGTGTTGGAGTCTGTTTTCCTCTTTCACCATGGAACATATACATGAGCTGCTATTTGATCTGGTAGATCAGATTAAACCCCAAACTAGCAGTAACATTTCTAGAAATAGCTCGGTGGCAAACATTAAAAGCAGGCATTACAAATTGAATAGAAATCTCCCCTTAGTATATTTATTTTATTCACATATGTCTTGTCCTCTCTTTCCTAACCTAAATTACTGAGTAATGAATAATGTTATTTCCTGTGTTTTTGCTTAGGGGGAGCGGGGGGAAGGAAAAAAAAAAAGGAAAAAAATGTTGCCTCATTTGTTTTCTGCCTTATGTTTTACTACCTTTTTTTTAAAAATTTTTTTTAAAGGTGGTAGGACTGAAGTAGTATTTCCATTCCTTAAACATTACCTGTAAAATAAAACTTCCTGTTATTTTTGTAAAGCCTCTTGTGTATAAACTGATTTGAAGAATCTGCTCCCCATACACAGAGTAGGAGAAGTAGTGTAGTGGCAAGTTCATTAACATGTAGCTGAGTAGTTACAATCATATACATATATATATGTCCGTTGTCCTAGGTGTGTTTGAGGGTTGAAAACAGAATAGGTGCTGTGTCTGTCTTCTGCTGGTGTGAGCACCGCAGTGAGGAACATAGGTGGGTGTTTCCATTCTCTTGTCTGCTTTGTGTCTCTCTGGTTTCAGTTATAAAATATAAAGAGGAGAGAGAAAATATTGTACAGTCTTGGCATATTGTAAGGTCTGAATGTGAGTAGACAGCAACAGCAGGTCTTCCACCTGATTTCACTGCAGTCCTTGAGCACAAATCCATAGGAGGAGCTCCAGAGCAGATAAAATAGCAGTTTCTTAACTGGCATGCAGATCAAAGCTCTGAATGATCACTATTTGTTGTTTACATAGTAGAGTGGGAAAGAGCTTAAGCTGGCCTCTGCCACGGAAGAAAGAAGCTCCCTTGGGAGGGAGACACACTGTTTAGTGTTTTGCTTTCTTTCCGACCTGTCTGCAAGTGTTGAAAAACTTTAGTTTCATGGGCAGGTGCTAAAGCCCATTAGCAGTTATTTTTAAATTTCTTGTGCCTCTGACACACTCCAGTTGGAGGTCAAGGAAGTCTGAAGAGTTCGAAGTAAAGATCAGTAGTCCTAACATCTTAGGGTAAGTACCTGCCACTCCTCTGGTAGACCTGCTTGGTTATTCACTGCTGTTGAGATCCAAAGTGGGTATGGTGGAGGTTAGTCTTGAAGAGGTTAAGGGAATTAAATATTTAGGCATTGTTTCAGGAAAAGTGCGTTATCTTTCAAATGCAGCCAGCATTCATAGGGTTGTTCTACTTATTTCCTTAGTTGTTTGTGTTTAAGTAGATATGTGACTCCTGCTTTTTTTTCTCACACACTGTGTTCTTTCTGTGTTCTTCATGCTTTTAACTATATGGATGTCTTTTTGCACTGTACAATTAGAGTGGAAATCTGGAAGTGCAGTCTACTCTTAAATGTGCAGCAATAGTGAGTTTGTATTGAGATGCAGCCTAATAACTTATATGCTCTTTTGATCTTTAATATGTATTGAATTCAGTATTTTGTGTATTTCAGATGATAAAAAAGATATTGACCATGAAACAGTGGTGGAAGAGCAGATCATTGGAGAGAATTCTCCTCCAGATTACTCAGAGTACATGACAGGGAAGAAACTTCCTCCTGGTGGAATACCTGGCATTGACCTCTCAGACCCCAAACAACTGGCTGAATTTGCTAGGTAAGTAGGAAGAAAGGATCTTTAAACTAAAATGTTTTTCTTTTCACTGGTTTAATTATGGAACTGTTAGGCAAAATAAATAGTAGATTTAGTATGGCTTATTGTTCCATCTTCTGAAACAAGGGACTTTATCAGCTACTCTGTTCTGAATTCTGTGTTAAGATAACTGAGTTTTATATTAAGCAGTGACTTCTTCCATAACTTCTTGTCTTTAGTTCTTGTTGAGTAAGACAGGACCTAAATATGTCAAAGACTGAGTCTATAGATGTGACAAAATGTATCTTTCATGTGAGTAGTCTTAGATTCTTCAGCACCAAAGGATCCGATAAGTGAAATGCTGCATTCATGTTGTTTAGTACAGGAAAGCTAGACTACACTATTTAGTTTGTAAGGCCACTTACGGTTCTTTTTTCACCTGCTTCTTACTTCTTAAGCTTTAGGTCTTAAACTTCTTTTTAATGGAGTCACGTGTCTTCCACTTTGCAGTGCCACTGATAATTGCAGTTTCACAAGTGGTAACTACACTGCTTGGATTTTCCTTTAGTGAACCAGAATTGTAACTCGTTTACATGTCAGTATGTTGACCTGAGTTACAACGTGACTTTTACTTTCAAGTAGAGGTGAAACTCTGTTCTGTAGTGGAGTACTGAAAGTGTCATGTGTTTCTTTCCTCCCGCCCCTCCCTCCGCAGAGTACCCTGGATCTGGTACTGAGTGCTCAGGGCAACCGTAAGGTCACCAGAGGAGTCTACTTTGGCACCTGGAACGTGTGACGTTAGGGTTGCCTTTGCAACATTTACTTGGTCACCTTCTCTGTGTATGTGCTTGTAATTACCAGAGGTGTACTCCTCCACTCGGTGCATGGGTTGCATTAATGCTGGTGTCTCCAAATATTTGAACACAACTGCTAGCTTCCTACAGCTGCTATAATAAAGCTTTCCCATGTTGAAAGCAAAATGTATATATGAAGCTACACTCATTTTCATTTGGTTACCAGCTGGCTGTTCTTCTGAGCTCTGGTGCACAATTCTGACTTAGAGCAGGTGGGTGGTCACATGGTGTTACTTCCTGGGTCAGCTAGTAGAGGGAGAAGTATGCTTTTTTTGGTGGGGTTTTTTTTTTTTTTCTTTGTTGTTGTTGTGGTTTTTTTTCTTACCACGGGGTTTTTCAACTAGTTCCTAGATGGCAGGGACTGTTGAGACAAGTTCTGGTCTGGCTTCTCAGTTGGGTAGATCTTGGTGTCCTATGTATGCATTTACTCTTTTTTCACCTCTTTTGATCTTGCTGCTTTTTACAAGCTTGTTCTGTTACTCTCCAGTGTGTTTGTACTGGAGGATTGCCGGAACAGCCTCATCCCACAATTATTTTCAGTAAATCCATTGAACTGTGGATTTTGAAGGCTCCTAGTAATAGTTTTGCAGGGCTTGCACCCTGCTTCAGGCTGTCTGGTCTGGAAATGTATGAAACCACATCAAGAACAACTGAAGACAGAGTTTTATCTAAAGCAATGGGTGGTTCTAGCTGTTGATACTGTTTTTACTTGTTTTAGTATTGTTGATCAAAATGTCCGTGTTTTCCTCTGAGACCTGTTGAACGGTTAATACATTTTTTTGTGAAAGCAAATGTTTAAGTGGTACTCTGTATATACTCTAATTCTAAAACATTATTTACACATTTCTGCTTATCATGTGCTTAGAATGGTATTCTCAGTTATTTCAAAACATGATGAAACCTTTGGTCCAATTAAACATTTAAGTACTGAATAGCAATCTTTTTGTTAGGAAGTTAAAATAGTTTCTCGTGGAGTATTCTTTATGCAAATACTGCATATTTTTCTCCAGATTGGTTTGAATACTGGAAATGGTTGCCAGGATTTGCTTTCCTTGAAATGACCACATTGCTTCTATCACATCTATCTGCATATGTCTTAATACTGTAAAATGTACTGCGTTTTTGGGTTTTAGTTAGTTTTCTATTGAGAAAATAGTGGCAACTGGCAGTAATTTAAAATTTCCACTTTCTTATGGTAGAATGTTCTAGAGTTAGAATTTGTAGCAGGTGGCGGAAGGATTGAGTTCTATGCATACAATCTCTTTTCTTGTTAATATATTTCTGTACAGCAGGTAACATGTAGTCCATTTCAGTCATAAGACAAATATATGATGGTAGACTAAGCACCGTGGGGGGATGTCACCTTTAGCAATATCCCCAAGTTGCCCAAAATCTCTGACAAATTGTTCTGACAGCTTAATTGCAGATACAAAAAAAAATTCAAGCATCTTCTGTTTTAAGAAAGGTTTTTTGACTTCTTGGTCAGAATCAATGACTGTCATTTGCCTTAAAATAATTAAAAAAAAAAAACCCCAAGGAAGGTGGGGGAATTAAAAAGAAAACTGTGTTAGTTGTATGTCGGATCTTAAGTGATTGTGTATAGCTGAGACTGAAGAATATGGGTGTATTAATATTTGAATATTGCTTGTGAAGGTCTGGTCCTCTTGCGGTGAAGCATCTTGAAGGGACTCCTTTTAGCTAGTAATATGAATTCAAGCACTGGTATCTAGAAACCTATTTTTATACTGATAATTGCTTTGTTCATCTAGATTGCTGTGCGCAGTATCTTTAGAAACCTTGCATGGCAAACTGGAAGAACAACTGGGTTTACATGTACTGGAATTGGGTTTGGAGGTCCCAGGTATACAATTGCTCATGCATAAAGAATGTGTTTTAGTGTAAAATTCTCTGAAAGTTTCCAGCATTGCTGGTTGCTTTACAGTTCAGAATTTTGAAATTCTCAGTAGCTGTATTGTGAAAACTTTGAGCAGCATGTGAAGTTGAAACTGTTAGTTTTAAACTTACTAAGTAGCTTAATGTGCTCTGAGTAAGGTTTTGAATAACAAATTTGTGTTTTGATGACTTGGAAAAAATAATTGTGCACAGTCCACATATAACGAACCATAAAAAGTAAAATTGTATTCTAAATTTATTTTGTGTAGTTGAGAGCAAGTTACTTTGGGTTGCTTTCCTATCTTCAATAAGGTAGTTGGAGGAATCATTTGTAGAAATTTTTTATATATACATATACACACACACATTTGTAGAAATTTCTATACGCTTGTAGAAATTAGCTACGCAAAACCAGGCTAGATTGACTGTTTATAACATGCATCTTGTTTTGATTAAGGATAAATTGTCTGAGACATTCGCATTGATTCTTGGGAACAAAGTTCCGAGGTTAAGTTTAAGTGGGCAAAGCTTGAATTCTAGTGGTAACAGATTTCAGGCAAGGTTCTGGAGTTCTGATCATGGTCTGCTTAGTGAGAAGTAAGACGGGGTGGACTTGATACTTGAAGTCCTCTAATTCTGTAGCCCTTATAAAATAAAATTTAAAGCTGTAGTAATTCAGCATCTGCAATGGACAGCACTGGTGCTAGGCAGCTAGGTGGCACTAGCAGGGTGAGCAGTTATGCTGTCTCTTGCGATACAGTTGTCTTTCACTACTTCTTTTAGTGCTTTTGTCATTGAGTCATGCAGAAGGAATCCGG